CATGAAATGAAAAACCAATTAGAAACGACTTCAGTAGATACATTATGGTCCCTTGACTTGTTGCTCAATAAAAGTGATAGGAATTCAGTGGCTATGGACACAGTCAGAAGATCAAATAACATCTGTCATCTTCACAGAAAACAATCCATGTTAATCCTGAGGATGGCCAATGCTGCCTGGCTGAATCTTTGGCACTAAAACAGGCACTATGGCATACTTTCTGATTGCGCCCATAGCCATCGAATCCAATCACCTCTACTGAGCAAACAAATCATCAATATGCTGTGAGGAAGTTCACGTTTACATTTTTTAACTAAACTTTTCTCAAGTGCTCTACTTGTTCACCTAAGGCTTCAACTTTCGATCGAATTTTTCAAACTCATGGCATTGCAGCACCAGCTTCTATAAACAACTAGCAATAGTCGTCGCTGTGCACGTCGGTAAAGAATTTATGCTTAAAAAATCACTAATTGCACGTGACCCGCGTAGGGACTCTTGAGCTGAAAGATTCTGGCAACGCCGGCATCAAGCTGTTTAATGGATGACTGACTGATTAATGACGGATGCTAAATCTTCTCGAGTATGTTGTTTTGCCCACATGTTCCGTCGCCTTTCTCTGGACCATCGTCGCGATGGCAGATATTGTCAGCTTTGCGAATGTGGTCAGGAACTTCTGTTGGCAACGTCGCCACATGGCTAAACGGAGAGGAGTTCTGGGGAGGCCAACTTAAGTCCAGCGAGTTCGGGTATAACTCTGTAGTAGACAAAATCGTGCCACTTTTTGTTAAACTGCAGCCTTCGACTGCTGGAAGGCTGATGATTATCAGTTCTTTCATAGAATCTGTCTCGGCACCATACAGTAGACCTGGCAGAATACATTGATTTAACCATATTCTGGAATCATTATAGATTGTTCCCCAGAAACCGCCTTTTAGGACACAGAGAATTTCTAAAAACTTATTTCGATTCTGTCAGATTCTTCAATAAGACTGCTACTTTAGTGATTTAAGAACAGGCACGCAAGAAATTGCTTACTCTGAGGATGGCCAATGTTATTTGGCTGAAACGTCAGCAGTTCTAATAATAACTTTATCAACTATCTATTCCTTGCGTCTAGAATTATTAAAATGAAAAGTGTATTAACGGTACCACATTTACGACCTGTGCGGAAATCTAACGCCATTGGATGTTTCCCAGACTTAGCCATCAATCAGTCACTAATTAATCTTCATCATCCAAAAGGAGAGAAGATAGGAAACTATAACAGATGTGGTCTGCTCACAGACAGTTTGCTACGTTGGGGTGCGCGCCTTTTGTGTTTCTTGCATCCGTTTCATCGTGGACATGCCATCCATGATTCTGTGCTGTAGAAGTTAAATAATAAATTTTAATTTCTATGCCATCATCATCCTTTCTTGATCACTGCTGTATAAAAGCTTCTCCAAGAATTTACCGAACACGTGTCTTCGGTGATTCCTATCCATCCTGATCCAACGGACTTCTTCAGATGTTCTTGTTATTGATCTTAGGGTCGTCCTACTGGCCGCTTACTCTCACCAAGATATCAGTCTAGTGTCTCTCCATTCCAGGGATTTTCGGTTTTTCTTGCAACATGTTCTGTCTGTTATCATCTTAATTTCTTCACTTTGCCAGTGAGATCGCAGACTCCTGCTTGTGCTCTTACTCATTCGTTCGACTTCCAATTTTTTCTTGTCATTCACCATATACATATTTTCATGCTGCGTTCAGCAATCTGCAGTTAATGAATAGCATTCAGGCTTAGGGTTAACGCTTCACACCCTTAAGTTATCACTAGAAGTACGCACTGGTAGAATTTTTACCCTTTCAAGCTCACTGGCATTTTCCAACATTGAAACATTTTCAGTCTTCAAACGTGAACAATGCCGTCTGTATTCTTCTGTTGATTTCGCAGAGTGGGTTTTCCACTGCAGAAATGAGTTGTCCCAGATAGACGTAGCTTTGACATTGCTCAAGATTTAGTCAATTCACTCGAACAGGACAGAGAGTCAGTTATTTGCTAAACAAACGCTCTTCTGCTTAATTTTCAGTCCTGCTTTGATGCTGGCGTGGTTCAGCTCTTGGATTCTTCTTTGCAATTCTTCTGCTGATATCGAAAGAAGCAGAATATTGTCTAAAAGCCGCGGGAAAATAAGCAATGTCCTTCTATCTTCAGCCCATTAATTTCCCAAATGAGCGTCTTTGAAACCTTCTGCATGGGTGTTGTTAATAATTTCGGTGATCTTTTCGATTTTGAACTTGCTTGCACTTTCGAGGAGCTTGACATTAGCAGTTGCGTTCTTGGAAACCATAGCGATGAGGTGTGTGTAACATTTCTCTGATCACTGGTCCTCAGAGAATCCATTACAGACTGGGTATGGAATAGATCAAAAGATTTCTTGAAAGAGACTAACCCCGGCAGAGAGGAAGGTGATATTCGCTGTTTTTCTGAATTACTGTGTGAAGATGATCAGTGGCATGGAAATGTCTACATAAATTGTGATACATAAATGGCGCAGTTTAAAACTAGTGCCTAGATATATTTAACACTTTGTGTGGAAGTCAAATTTTTCACTGTCAAAAGTAATTAGAGCGCTTAAAAAATTTGAATTCGTCAACTTTGAAGCATTCTTCGAAAGAAACATGAATTAGTCAAAAAGCTGCCAGAAATATCAGCCTTGATCAACTATCATCGAAAGTAATGTCGCTATATATCCCAACGACGTTCGAGATGTGTAATCGCTGAAAACAGAAGTGCAACGGCAAATTGACGGGACATCAAGACAAATGAAAGCGTTAATTCTTCTGAAATATGTGGATGAAGAAAAACAATAAGAGCTGATAGTCGTTAAGCAAACTACAGGGTTGAACACCGAACCCCGTTTCGTACGGTCATATCGGAAAAGATGACGCTCCTCAATTAACTAACCAAATGACATAACTGAGTATTTGGAGACAAAAAATGATCATGGTATGACTCCAATCTGTCAAGATATAAACACTCCATATTACCTCGCTAACCGCTAACGTAAGAATCTAGACATGGACGACGATTGGTCGATGACCACCACAGCGTATGGCTGAAAAAACAGAACAGGAATCTACTGTAGCTGAGGAGATTCTCCATCGTCGATGCTGTAGGCATCATCTTATGTCAAGACGCAAAATACTGAGAAGCGAGACATCACAAATCAAAAGAATCTTAAGCAGTCTGAAGCTTTACAGATAGCCTAAACGGAGATGATGGTAAGTAATAAGAGATGAATTAATCAGTCAGTTATATCGTGTAAATTACGCAAAAGTTGCTACGGTGAACGCACAGAATGTTGAAACGTTAGTTACAGAGCAAAAGATTCGTCTGTGCCGCAAAACCGAAAGCGGGCAAACACTTACCATGTAAACACACCGTATGCTCCTCAACGGCAAAATTTACTTCTTCGCCGAGATCGTCCCGTTTGAAGCGTCTCTGGTGAATGATGTGCGCTCTGGTAGAGTTATTATGAGTGGAAGACGAGTTGTCGTCAATGAACGGATAAATCAGAACGTGTTCATCATTTTCCGTGACCATCAGACCTCGCTGAAAAGAAATTGAGCAGCATAAAACGCCTGGTGATCGACTTTAAGTCTTATTTATGATTCGTGCTCATTGCCGACTGATTTCGTCTCCATCCGCAACAAGCAAACGAGCCCTTAGGGGAGATGATTTGTTTCCCAATTGCAGATTCGTATGACATGTTCAGCATTAGGGCCACGTGCCGCATTTTCATATTAATCCAGTGGAATTCAATCGACTTAGAATATACGATACACTGAGAATCGCTCAGAATGCGAACATCGAATAACACCACACCGATGCAGTTTAACTGTCACCTCAACAAACACACGGTCGCGAAATAATAGACTCAATCTGAAATTGCGTGTTTTCAGCATTGACAATTTACTA